TTAATAAGCGTGGGGGGGCACACCCCCCGAAGGGGGTTAACCTCGCCTCGTCGTCGGGCCGCGACAGAGGTCGGAGCGCCCTCGGCGAGCGGTGGCTGCCCGCGACGGGGGTCGATGTGGGGCTGTCGGCCGGGGCGACGCCCCCCTGGCGCGTATTAAAAACTCTGAGTCCATATGTGTTCGCAGATTCGACCGACAAAAAACAATCTCCGGGTACATAAATTCAGTAGTCGACCCCCTGCCAGAAGTAGGGAAACAAACTCTATACACGGACGCTTTTTCCAGCCCTGCACTGACACTTGCACAGGAAAGCGGGTCCTGGTGTAAGTACAAACCACACCACCCCGACGTTGCCCACGACCCTAAAAAAACTCCTGGGACTGATAAACAGCCCGTCTCTGGTAGTGTATATGTCCCATCTTTCCGACGAAGGAAGAAGCTCGTTCTTTTTTAGACTCGGGCAAGTTTGCTTGCATGGACGGGGGGGGGGGGCTAAGCCTGAAGCCAGCCGAAAACAACTTGACGTGCGGAAATCACGCAAGTCGAAAGGCACTTGCGCGCTCGGATTCGATTGAACAGGGGCGAGGGGGGAGAAGGGGGGGGGCGAACGCCATGCAAATAAACTTGCCTGGGTCTAAAGAAAAGCAGGCTCAAGATGAGGCCGCGACGACTGCGACGGCGACAACGACGGTGGCGCCTTCAGTGGCGCCGGCAGCGCCGCGGCGGCGACCGCAGCCCGCGCGGCCACCCCGGCGGCCACGCCGGCGGGCGACGGCGCGCGCACGCGGGCCGGCGGCGTCGAGGCGTTCAGCGCGGCGTCGCTGCTGGTGAACGTTTTCTTCTTCGGCATTTCGACAGTGGGCAGAAGGGGGGGGGAGGGGGGTCTGGCTCCGGACCTCTCTTTCGTGCGACTGTTTGCCGCAGTGCGTCCTATGCGGGAGACTCCACCTGCTCGAAACATGCGCCAACAACATCCAAGATCTACTCCATGGGGGGAGGGGGGAGGGGGTGCGAGGGCCCGCGCCGATCGGCAAAACAATGAATAAGGAGACGAACACCTGCGGGGAGTTTGCCTTGTTGTTTTGCTTCTTTTGAACACGAAAAGAAAAGAAATTGAAGCCGTGTTGCCATTATAGAAATCCACTGTGGATGACGATGCGCGTCACGCTGCATCGTCGGGGGAAATGTGCATGATCAACTTGCAACACAACGACACTGGGCCCCTTCAACGTGAGGCGGGGGGGGAGAAAGGCTCCCCAGACTTCTGGCGCCAGCGGGACTCATCTATAGCTGGGGGAGGGAGAGGGGGAGCATGGAGCAAAGGCGGGGGTAGGACAGCCACCACGAAAAACGAGGGAGACAAAGGCGCAAAAGACGACGCGCAAAGGGCGACTGATGAATGGAAAAAAACAGAATATGCGGAGGAACAGGGCAAGAGACGTCGAACTTCGTGGCGGCGGCGACGCGCGACCCGCCAGCGCGCCCTGACGTGCGCGAGCGCAGGTTGTGTCTTCCCGCCGACCCTGTGCAGGCTACCCGCAGAAAGACCCTGAAGCCAGTCCACCCCTGTCCATATAGAATTTCAAATCAGAAACACAAACTTTCCACGGTCCGCGCGGACTTGTCGGATCTTCGCTGGACCCCCTCCCTGGCGCGCGGAACGCGCTGGGGCGGCGCCAGGGGCGCCGCCAAGGTGGTCCAGCGGGGGCCCGACAAAATCCGCACGGACCGTCGAACATTTACGTTTCTGCCGTCTTCCCTCTTCGAATCCACCCCCTCGTTCGCCCCCCTCCTCCTCCCTCCGCGTGTCCCCTGGGGAGAACAACGCACCGGTCACGCTGGCGGCGCGATGGTGCGTGATGGAGCATATGGGGCAGCACCTCTCATGCCAACCTTTTCGCACGACGATCCTTCCCCAACGACGACGCGCGCGGTAAACCGGAAACAGCCGCCTGCTGCTTCGAGCCAGCAGTGGAGATACCCAACATGCGCGCGCGCGCTCGCGCCCCAAGAATAGTCAACGAACAACTTCGGCACCTGACAAGGACCGGTGCGCGGGCGCGCCGACCGCCCCAGGGGTTGGGGCTCACCCCCAAACGCCTTGGGCAAACTGCCGACGTCGGGCCCGTCGCCCCCCTCCGAGGGGATGAGCAAATAACTAGGGCTCCCAACTTCGCGCTTCGCGCTGCGCGAAGCGCGAAGCGCGAATAACTTCGCGCTCTCGCGCCGCCCTCCCAAAGGGAGAATAGGAGGACGAGGAGGAGGAGGAGAAGGAACGAGGACCGCGAAGCGCGAATAACTTCGCGCCCTCGGGGGAGCCCTTGAAATAACAGCATCAGCCCGCGGAGGGCGCTCCCGACCCGGCGACGCAGAACGCGCCAGAGGTCGGCGTCGTGCGGGCCCGACGGCGACACCCCCTGGACGCGCGCGCGCGCCATCCAGCTGGCCGCGCACGGGGGGAGGGCTCGGTTGAATGGCGCGCTGCAAGACTTCCTGGAACGAGGTGTCCTCTGTGGAAGCGCGCCTCCGACCCGGCCATGTATCACAACCATATTGTCGTACTTCGTTCCCCGGGCGATATGGCAAGACACCGTCCGCCACAGAGCCTGTAGCATAAGATTTCTCGGCGCGCGCGTCGCCCATGGGGAGGCGACGCACACATCGTACCATGTTGGGGTAGCGCCCATCGAACGCTCTGCAACTCGCAGAGCGTTCCCACCCAACGCGGCGCAACTCTGAGCGGGGGCCGACGACGACGGCGAAACCCTCGACGCTGCGAGCAGGAAGCCCGCTCAACACGGACTGGAAACCGCGGCCTTTTGTGGACGAAGGGGTCACGGAAGGGCCGATCCCCCCCGAGTATCCGTTCGTAAAGGCGGCAACGTATAATGAAGGACGACGATGAGAGTTGTACCCTTCTTCACAAGTCCAAAAACTGGACTGGGTTATCAGTACTACCCGGGAGCGGAAAGAGGCAGCGGGTACAGGAAATCATAGGCAGATACAATCTGGCCTAGGCCAGAAGAACACCTCTCAAGAACACGAGACCCCTCCACCGACCCAAACGCACAGAACATCCAAGGGTACCCTCCCAAGGATGAACAGGAGCACCCAACAAACACCAAAACCATGAGGGTACCCTCCCCGAACCGACCTCGATCGCAGGCTTCGGTCCGAAGGTACGGGGGTTCCTTTACACGGTCGGGCAATGCGCCGCAGCGTCGCCGAGCAGAAAGATGCCGAGCACAGGGCGCCTAGAGCTCGGTCACCGCTTCCGCCGCGAGGGCCCAGCAGTGCGTACAGTCGACACGCTGTCAGAAGGAACCCTAAATAAGGAGAAAGGCCCCTTTCTCTTTTCACTTGGCACGGGGCGCCGCCGCGATGAAGTTCCAGAGAGTTCGGAAAGTGCCGACGGGGTCCGAGAAGGGACCTGCGCGCGAGGCCAGTACCCGAAAGCCTCGACCACGAGCGGCTGTAGTGATAGCGGCCACGGCGACGACGACGACGACGAAGCGCGGGCAATCTTGGAGCTCCGGACGGGGCCCAGTGGAGCCACTCAGGGGTAGGGGCTACCAACGGGGTTCTGGAATACTCCAGCGCGGCACGCCCCCCGCGCTTTTCGTGGCCCACTAAGGCGCCAGTAGGCCTCCGACCTTGTCGCCGCCGCGGGGAAGAGCGCGAGCCCCCGACCCCCCCGAAGCCCACGGCGAGTAAAAGCGCGCCCAGCCTTCCCGATGCCACGGGCGCGCGACGGACGCCTCCGACCCCCCCTGCGGCCGCGCGCGCGGAAGTCGGCGAGAAGCCAGGGGCCGCCTAAGTTGATCGACGCGCCATCCAGAGGAACCAGATTAACGATGCATGTAACCCGTGGAAAGATGCGCGGGTAAATGTGGACCGAATGCAGCTAATCCTGTCGAAGGACCCAACCACGTGAATACGCGCGCCGTAAAGCTGGCGAAACACAGGAGGGGGAACTCCCAGCGGAGCCACGGGGCGCGCGAGAGGCGCGTCGAAATTTGCGGCGAGCCGGCTGCGAACGGCGGCGCTGGGGCCTCGGGTGGAGCGGGCCACGAACCGCGTGAGGAGGTTGCCGAAATTGGCGGGCTAGACGCACGCAGGGGCGGCCAGTCGGGCCTTAGGTGGAGCTCCCCGCGGGTCTGCGCCGAAAGGACAGGGCGACGCGCGCGGGGGCGGCCGCTGGGGCCTTGGGTGGAGCTCCCTACGGGGCCGCGAACCGGGCGGGTGGCGCGCCGAGATGGGCGGGCGAGACGCAAGCGAAAACGGCCACTGGGGCCTTCTGTGGGCGGGGCCCCCGATGGGGCCACGAACCGCGTGAGGGGCGGGCAGACGCGGGCGGGGGGTGCGCGCGCGAGGACGGCCGCTGGGGCGCGCGGTTGAGCTCGCCAAGGGTGCGCCGACTTGGGCGGGGGAGACGCGTTGAAGGATGGCCAGTGGCGCCTTGGGTGCAGCTCGGGGCCACGAGCCGTGCGCAGGGTGGGCAGACGTGGGCGGGGGAGACGCATGCGCGGGTGGCCAATGGGGCCCTGGGTGGGGCTCCCCACGGGGCCACGAAGCGCGTCTTGCGGTGTGCCGTCACGGGCGGGGGAGACGCGCGCGGGGGCGGCCGATGGGGCGGCGAAAGAGTGCCCTGGAACACGCCGAAGCGGGTCCGACATACTTGCCAGGTCCAGAGACCGCTCATGACCCTGAGATCTTTACTGACCAAAATGATAGGAATGTTGGAAAATTACATGTTGTAGCTCCCGGAAATGCACTTGGCGCTGGCGACGTGGATGAAGTCGAAGGTGGCCGAGCTGCGCAACAGGAGTGCATGCAAAAACGGTCGCGCTGCACAGCGCATGTGCGACCCCAAATTCGCATATGGGGGTATTCGTTGGTCAGCGCCCCATATGCCAATCGCTGGCCCCCTCCGCGGTTGCAAAACTACGATTTACGTTTCTGCCGATTTGTGCGCGAACGACCCTTGGACACGGGGGTTGTTGTCTCTACCATGGGGCCCGCAAGCCCCTTCCTCCACCGCGAGCTTTTGAACCCGCTGACTGAAGAACGGAATGCGCCGCCATCTTCCCGCCCCGACCGCAAGAGAAAAAGGCACATTGCGCGCGCGCGCGTTTCAAGTTCAAAGTGCACCGGGGGGGAAGGGGGGAGCAGAGAGGAAGCGCAGAGAAACCGACGCAGCAGCCGACAACCACGCGTTCGCCGCCTTGCCTGTGCATCTTTCGATTGTTGTGAAATTGAATCCCACCAGCCCTCCGGGCGTCGGTGGTTTAGGGCGTTTCTTCTTCCACCCCTCCCTCTTCCCCTTCGGGGAGGGGTTTACCCCTCCCCTACCCCCTCCCCGTGGACCTGGACGGGGGGGGCCGCGAGCGGTCAGAACGTCCAAAAAGGCCTCGGCGAGGAAGCCAAAGTCATTGTTTGTACCATGGTTTTGGCTCCAGTTTGGCCTCCTGGGGGGGCAACCCTACTTGAAGCTCCCCTCTTCTTTGATCGATGTCCTCAAAAATGGCCCCAAAAGCGCGCAGGAGGCCCCAAGATGGCCCCAGTAGGCCCCCAAGAGATCCCCAAGAGGCCCCAAGAGACCCCCCAAACGCACCCAAGGTGCTCCAAAAGGCCTCGGCGAAAATGCCAAATCATTGATGCTACGAAGGTGTTCGCCACATGTTGGCCTCTTGGGGGGGCATTGGCTAAGATGATTCCAAGAGCGCCTGGGAGAGCCCAAAATGACCTCCAAGATGGCTCAAGATATCCCAAGATGTCTCAGAATGGCTTCCTCTGTGTGCTGCCCACTTCCCTGATCGAGGCA